GAAGGGTACCTCAGCGTTTTCCCATTAAAAACTAGCAGTAAACTGCCCTTTCAGTCAGTGATTCTGAACTGGGATGTGCACTGGGATTGCTTGGGCAGCTTGTTAAATGCAGAGTTTCTAGCAACTAGGTTCACCCCTGGTGAATCTCCAGTCTGAACTGGTTCCCAAGGTGACTGTGATGCAGGTGGTTTATTAACCTCCAGAGGATCCTCCTGTGTTCCTTAAGTATAACAGATCCTTAAAAATTGATGGAAAGTGCATATTATGGAAAACTGTACATGGATTTCAATTTTTCTTGCACCAAAAAAAACATATTGGGTAAGTCCATTTCTGTGAACTTTTTGAAGCTCCTTGTACAGTCTTTTGACTTCTACTCCCTTCTGCTTCCCAATGTCAGCTGCTATTTCCTGGGTGTGTGGTGTCACCTGGTAGGAAGATATGGCCTGTTTCCTTTCAGATTCTTCTTTGTTTTGGAAAACAGTTCCAATACTTTAAAGGACAAATATGGCTCAGAACTTGTGTACTGTTCATTCTTCAAGCATTTGCTGAGTATCTTTTGGGTGAAGAGCTGCCCTGGTCTAAATGCTTTCAAACATAGCTGTCCCTCGGTTGGCCACCAGAGTGGTAATAGAAACATTTGCATTTACGATGTCATTGTAAATAAGGTACCTGTAATTTATTGTCCTACAAAAGTTGTATTACCAGTTTTTCATCTCCCAAAAGGTACACAGGTAATAAAGCAAATGAAATCAGCATTTTTTATGCCTAGCATAAATTGTTATTTGTATGGGGCGAGTAGCCATTTACCAGGCTGTTTTACAATTTGCAGCATCTTGCTCACTGGGTCTTAAACTGCCTTCCACAAATCCATTCATTAAGCCACTAAATATCCTTACAGGATCAGTGCAAGTGGCAGTTAGTTTGTCAGATTGGCAAACTGATCTTTAAAATGAGCCTAACTATTCCAGGCTTGGGGTGGGGGATCATCATAACTCTTGCTTTTTCTTCTGAGATCTTGCTGTGCTCGTGCTACCAGCCCCTTAGTTCCTAGGAGCTAATCCTTAGCTATTCCATTATTTCTATTCCTTTAACCTGAGAAATAAAAGCCCTGGGGTGGTTTATAGTAGTCACATGCATACAAAATAGATGGGCACGTTTTAAAAAGGCATCTCCCAAAGACAACTAGGAGAAGCAAGCTAGAGATCCCTGGCTTCCAGGGAGGTAACTCTACAATTAAACATCATGTTTACCTTGAAGCTTTGGAGAAGCCAAGACAAACTGGCAGATACATCAGGTCATATAGTTCTCGTTGTTCAATAAAGGAAGGATACACATTTGACAGGAGAACTGTTTTTCCCCCTTGTTCCTGAATTTTAGGAGAAATGGACAATATCTGACTTGTTAACAGAAGATATGTAATTTAAATCTAAATCTCCTATGCCAATCCCATCAAAGACCTTGCCATAATATTTAATTGTAACTCAGTGAAGGCAATACCATATAGAATAATGATCATATTCAGGAATGACCATTTATTGAGCATCTATGAGTATGTGATACTTCAAGTGCAGTGTCTCATTGAGCCCTCAAAATGGCCCAGTGAAGGAAAGTTTAGCAAATGCAATTATGGACAAGGAAAGTGATGCTCAAACACATTTGAATTTAGTGCCAGGATAACATCTATGATGTGGCAGATCACAGATTATTACTTGTTTTAACAACTCCAACTTCAGTGCTTTCTCCATTATAGTTTGTTACAGGAATAAAGTATTAAGAACCTACGGCAGTTATTCTCAACTAAGGGTGATTTGGCAGTATCTCTCTGGAGACTTTTGTCATTTTCTCCTGAGTGGGGATCACTACTGGCATCTAATGGGTAGAGGCCAAAGATGCTGCTAAACATCTTACAATGCCACCAGGACAGCCACAACAATAATTGTTTTAAAAAATATTTATTTATGTATTTGAGAGGTAGAGTTACAGACAGAAAGAAACAGAGACAAAAGTCTTCCATCCACTGGTTCACTCCCCAGCTGGTCACAACAGTCAGAGCTGGACCAATCTGAAGTCAGGAGCCAGGAGCCAGGAGCCAGGAGCTTCTTCCACATCTCCCACACTGGTGAAGGGGCCCAAGTACTTGGGCCATCTTCTTCTGCGTTCCCAGGTCATAGCAGAGAGCTGGATCGAAAGAGGAGCAGCCAAGACTTGAACCAGTGCCCATATGGGATGCCAGCACCACAGGTGGAGGTTTAGCCTGCTATGCCACAGTGCTGGTCCCCACAACAAATAATTATGTGACCAAAGCTATCAGCAATGTAAAGAAGCAGAAGAAGCCCTACTCTGAGAATGGTTAAGTACTTTGCTCTTAGACCATATCCCTTACTATCATGTATCTCAAGCAAGTGTTGGCAGCCATGGAAATACAGCCCATTCAGAGCTGAATTGTCTGCCTTAAAGTGATAATTTCCTCTTGTGGATTAAAGAAATTTTCATATGCATCAGATACTAGATATACAGGTGGGAAAATTAATATTTCCTATAAAAATGGAAGAGCCTATAATACCATCCAGGCAGGTCATTTCTTTCATCCTGAGGAGTATGGGTGCTTGTAAGGCAAGGCCCAGTTTTTTCAGAGGAACTGCATTTATTTCAACTGTGGGATTAGAATTTATTAAAAGTCCTAGATTCTGTGTCATAAGGCTAGAAATGGTGAAGCACTTTAAGTTATGTGCTTCCAGTTGGCCTTTTTGACCATAAAAGAACTATAGGATGATTTGTTTTTTAATAGAACTGCATCCTGGGGAGTTCGTAGGGCCAACTTAGCTGTGTGACATAATTTGGAGGAGCTGAGTGAGCTGGCCGATTGAGTGATTTTAGTGTTAGTGCAGTTGATGCCAAGTTATCCTTCCTGAAAATAATTAGCTAACAGGTCAATGCTTCACTCTCTCCTACTCTTCATTTTCTTATAATTATGGCTTTCCAGTTACTGCCCTCTTGATCTTTTCCCTTTTATATTCGGGTCAGCAAGCATTCTTTATCTAAGTTTGTCATATGTTAAAAGTCTGCTGTGATTCCTCTTGACCAAGTGTAGAGAGTGACAATGTGTCCATTGTGTCCATGGCATAGCTCTTCATTATATGTACAGAATGTTCTTATCAAAGTCTCAGAGAGCCAGCCCTGTGAATGTTCAAGGTTGAGCAGATCAAGCGAGTTTGTGGTGTCATCTCCACGGGGCTCCATTTTCAGAGGCACAGTAGGTCTGTTGGGGCTTGTCCTAATTCACAAGCGTGTCACTCTCCTTGTTGAGACAACAACACAGTTTCTTGAGTGTGCCTTTGTGGCTTCCTCACTGACTAGGGAATGGATTCACCATCCACCAGGTATTTCAGATGCATAATTTATGATCCATGGTGTAGCACAGCTGCAGACTCAGTCAGGACATACAAAATATTAGAAGTAGCAGGTGGGGATGTACCCTATGTATTATTCTGTATTCTTTGAGAAATGGTGGAAGAGTTCTTGGATAGTAGGGTAGTGCATTTTATGGTGCATTAATTTAATAAGTGCCAGAAAAATTTTACCCACAAACACTTGAACTGCATGTTTCCATGTTCTTAGTATAACTGTATCACAGTTCTATTAGTGCTCATTCTCTCATTCTCACTTTTATTTCACCTTCTGTTTAGGGTTCTCTAGAGAAACAGAATCAATAGGTATATCTACATCTATACTTATCTCAGTATCTATAGCTACATCTTTATATTTATCTCAAAAGAGTTTTATTGTAAGGAATTTGCTCATGAAATTCTGGAGGCTGAGAAATCATGTGATGACATCTACAAGCTGGGGAACCTGGGAAACTGTTGGTGTAGTTTAAAGGCTTTAAAACCAGAAAACTAATGATACGAATTCCAAGCCTGATCTGAAGCTTTGAGAGCCAGGACCACTGAGGGCAGAAGATTAATGTCTCAGCTTCATCCGTTATGCGGAGTGCAAATTCAACATTTCTCCATTTCTTTTTTTCTATCTAGGCCCTCAATGGGTAGAAAGAGCCACGTGCACACTGGGGAGAGTGTATGCTTTGCTTAGTCTACCAATTCAAATGCCAATCTTTCCTGGAAACACCCTCACAGACATACTCAGAAATAATGTTTCCCTTGCTCTCTGGGCATTCTGTGGCCCAGTCAAGTTGACACATCAAATTTTCCATGTACCAGGGCTGTTCTCTTCTCAGCTCCTGTTTCTCCCCTTTTCTTTGAATTTGTCCCTCTGACTTTCTCAGTGAAAACTAACCTGGGTTCTCCAATCCTGGTTATTCTTTCTACCTTAATGGTACTACCCCGATTTCTACCACTTTTTTTTTGTTTGTTTTCTTTTTCTTTTTTCCACAAATGTTTGGAGTATACATGGTGGTTAAGATTCCAAGCTCTGGAACTCAAATACCTGGGTTTTGCCTTACATCTGCTACTTTTTAAAACCAGCTGTGTGACCTTGGTCAAGTTATTTAACTTCTAGGCACCTCTGTTTTTCATCTTTAAATGGGAATATTAGTAGCACCTTTCTCTTATAGAGTTGTGATGGTTTAAAAGTTAATTAATGTCAAGCACTTCAAACAGTGCCTCATGAATAGTAATCCATCAGTAAACATTAGCTATTATTTTACTTTGATTGTAAGGGAAGTGAGAAAAGCCTTCTGAAATGATGAAATTCTTTAGAGGTGGTTGTTTTAGATTTGTACTTCTTATGCTGTGCCTGTAGTGATTCATTGAAAATAGGTGAATGAAAATATTAGCCAGATCAGCATCCAATAGTGGGAACCTCTCTGCAATGTTAAATTCCATTATGTTTAAACAGAGATTTCTTTTCCCCTTATTCCTACCCTGTTGGGCAATCCAGCCACGGTTGGCCCTGTTACAGAGCTGACATCATCCTGGCTCAGAAAGATTTTTTAAAAAGCAGATCTCTCACAGATGTAAATTATCATTCTTTGTTCAACCCAGCAGCTCCACCTTCAAGGACTTAGAGGGCAACAGCCTGAAGGATAGTGGACATGAAGAGAGTGACCAGACTGACAGCGAACATGATGTCCAGCGGAGCCTGTATTGTGATACTGCTGTCAATGATGTGCTAAACACCAGTGTGACCTCCATGGGATCTCAGATGCCTGACCATGGTAAGGGCTGGTTGGATGTAAGTCGCAACAATAGACTCCAAAGAATCCAGACACTTTTTCTGTAATGAGTGTGTAACCAAGGTATCTGCTGAGCTCACACCGCAGTGGCATCTACAGGTTTTTGACATGTCCTGACACCTAGCCAGATTCTTCTTTGCCCTCCCTGAGTGGATCACCTAGGGCGGTATAACGTTCAAACATTTTAAAATCTGACTGCATATACACTGTGCATACATTCTCTTCAATACTAACTGCGCTGAGTACATAGGAAACAACCAGATGCCTTCTCATCAGGAATAAATATCTCTTTTCGGTTTAGTCCATGAACGCGGCTGATCAGTTGAGTCACGCAGAACACAGTGATGATGAGATCAAAGGGGTGTGTGTTACTTTCCTACCAGGCTTTACCTAGAGAGGCTCTGTTCTCTGACCACAAATTGTACACTCACTTTACTGAGGAAACAAAGTCTCAAACTTCTCATTTCACCTGCAGGGCCACTATGCCAAATCCCAGTAACTGTCACACAAATCCATGCCATTAGTCATAGGGGCAGCTGAGTCAACATAAAGCATTCTGCTAATGGGCAGAGCACCTCAAAGTGGCCCGTCAGGAGCAGCATCCTCATGTATGGAGGAGAGTCTGTTTTTGTAAACTCAGCCACACCTGCTTCGGTAGAAAACATTAGAGAGTTCAAGTAAGGCAGAATAGGTGGACTCGGGCACCAATGTCATTTTCAGTATTTTACTGATGCACACATGCAATGCAAACAGCCTGTCTTTTTCAGTTAAGAAGTATGAAATCAGCTTGGTGTTTAGGCTCAGTGAAGCTTCCGAATGCTTGGCTATGTCTTGAGAGAAACTAGACTCAAGCTCAGCTGGAAACCCTACTGCTGAAAGACGTAAAGAAGAGAAAACAAAATATGGTGATTATGTGCTGGTCTTCAGCTGTTTCATTTCACTGTAAACATCATTAAATGCTTTTGTTTTGCTTTTGTAAATGAATCCAGAGAAAAAAATGCATGATCCACAAAACAAAATGTTTTCCATGGAAAAAAATTAGTCACTGTAGAGTCTATTAAATTGTCTAATCCATCCCCACCCAAGCAGACTGGAGTGTCAAAGTCTGTAATATATAGAGGTCACTACCAATTGTGCACTGCTGCCTTCCCTAATTGGTGAGTGGTGACATCTGCAGAGATAATATACTTTCTGGGAAGCCTTACTATGACTAAAGATGAAAAAAATTAAACATTTATATAGCTGAAACAGAGGCAATTTAATTCTCGGAGGATTAGCAGTGTGTCACAAGATGCAGACTGATACGTATCATTTACTAGTCATGTGTCTCAAAGAAAGCCTTTTTCATTTATATCAGAAAGGGTTTTAGTTAGATGCTCTCTAAAATGAAATGACTCCAGGAAAGGAAATAGTCATAATTGATTCTCACTTTATGCCTGGCTTGAACAACATCTGTTTTAATTTTTGTCACATTTCTCTAGGAAAACAATATCAGTGGACTGCAGCTAGTTTTTCTTAGAGGGTGTTTCTTACAAATGGACTGTATGTATATATCTTGTGTGTGTATTTATTTATATATCTATATATACATATTGTGCATGTTGGATAATAATGACAGGATTCTGAAGCAAATCAGTGGCAGTGTTCTGCATATGATTCCACACATGCACACACACATTTTTTGCTGTTACATTTTCGCAACACTTTCACATTTTGTTTCCCATTATTTGATTTGCATGTATATATCTTCATTTTTCCATTATTCCAGCAGTGACTAAACCTTGAACTAGCCCTTATTTGGGTTGATTCATTTCAACCTGAGTGAGTGACAGAAGTTTAGGTACAAAGGGAATTTAGGTCTCGCTTACACCTCACTCTCTAGCTTGTGATATCCCACTACTGCTGAAGCTTTCTGTAATGATACTTAATTGTATGTCCCAAATCAACTCTGGGCTTGCCACACGGATTGTGTCACGAGTTCACTTGAGTTGATTACTGCCATCTCACAAGACAACAACTATTCCAACAGTTTATTGATTATCTCAAACCTGCATTCTGATAACAAGTGTATCTCATTTTATACTGAAGCACCTCGATAGGCAGTCACTGGGTGAAGCCACCATGCATGCTTGATCTTGAACTTGTCAGGCTGACTCTGATTTTGATATGGCTTTTGGTCCTTCCAGAACCACTCCAAAGTTGGGCCAAATGTACCCAATAAAGTGTATCTTATACCTTTGTTTTGGGAAGTTTGCCTCATTCACCTTGGATTCCATGTCTGTGGATTTCTCTCTGATATTTCTAATTTGGATGTTAGAAATGCATCTTTCTTGGCAGATGCATGGACACCTGATGGATGGGAAATTTCTGGATTGTCAAACTAAGATAATTTTATGCATCTTAATTTTTTTTCCATGTGCAGGAATGGGTCGCTAAATGAGCTGATACTGTGTTGTCAACTGTTTGAGGAGAGTACAAACTGTATTTGCTCCTCCCTTTCTGGGACACACCTGGGCCCTGTGCTTCTCCACACTGCTAAAAGCTTATATGGAATTTGTTCTTATAACTTAACTGTGTCGCAAGAATGCTCAGTGTGAATGACTGTAAGGGCTCAAATGTCTTAATTCTCAGTAGCTTTTCTTTGAGAACGTTCCTAGGGTTAGTAATCCAGAATCACTATATTCAATATAGAAAGGAGAATATCTAGAGGACTTTTTGATTCAGAAGACAAAAGTCAGGTGTTTACTCACTGGTGAGTTTGAATTGTGTTTTTTTTTTAATTTATTTATTTATTTGAAAATCAGAGTTACAGAGAGAGGAGGAGACAGAGAGCAGAGAGAGAGAGAGAGAGATCTTCCATCTGCTGGTTCACTCCCCAAATGGCCACTACAGCTGGAGCTCAGCAGATCCCAAGCTAGTAGCCAGGAGCTTCTTCTGGGTCTCCCATGTGGGTGCAGAGGCCCAAGTACTTGACCCATTTTCCGCTGCCTTCTCAGTCACATTAGCAGGGAGCTGGATCTGAAGTGGAGCAGCCAGACGCCCATATGGGATGCTGATGTCACAGGTGGTAGCTTTATCCACTATGCCACAGCACCAGTCCCTGGATTGTGTTTTGATTGCCCCAAACATATTCATGAGCTGGGTTAGGGTGGAGGTAAGAGGGAATGAAAGGAATCTCTGCTGTCTGGATTGCGGTCAATCCTAGTATCTCTGTTGACATGTCTAAAACCAGGTCAGTAGGTTGATGAACTGACTGAGCTGAATTACTGGGTCACCAGCTGATTGAATTATAAATTGATTTGTCATCCACGGTGCCCATGCATTAATGTGTCTCGGTCTGTCCCTGGTACAGACTGCCCTTAGCTCTGTTGTCATGGCTCCTCAGAACAGAAGGTGATGGAGAATTCTTTATCCATGCTTTCTACTGGCATAAGGAACTTTTGGAGTGCTGTTTCGCAGTAGCTCTAAGAGTGCCTTAAGAGCAAGTAAGTGTTGTCATTTACCAGATTTATATCACCTGATTTGGTTCCTGAGGTGGTTTGGTGCTGAGGTTGAAAGTCACTGTCAAATCTCTTAACTAATACTTTCACTGCTTGAATTTGAGTACCTTCTGGTGGGGATATGAATTTTGCTTTATTTAATTCCTGTGGATGATTTCTAAGAGGGGTAATTGACAATAACGTGGTCAGAGGTGTCAGAAGCTCAGGGATTTGTTGCATGATTTGGTATCACTGGATTTGCAGCTCCTCTTGTCTGGGTTGGGTAATGCCAGGGTTAATTGGCTTCTGGCTCCTCCTTGTTTCTCTGCATGACCATTTGGGGTGACATGAGCATTCCATTATGCATACTTAAACATATAATCCTGATACGAAATTGAGATTTATGGAAATCATAACCTAGGACTGTATACTAGTCCCACACCCCACTAATTTTTCTCAAATCAGACCCAGTCTTTTTTTCCTTATGATCTTAATTATTGATTATATATTCATCATCTAAAAATATGGCTTTAATTGCTCTAATATGCACCCAATTTTGAGTTTACTGCAAAACTGGGTTGGTTTCCCTCCCATGCTAATTGATACCAAATGAAGGCAATGTACAGAAATATGCAGTAACATTTATCTGCTTTTCACATCCAAATGCACCCAAATGCAACATAATGATTGCTTTACTTCTGGAAGTGTAGATTCTTATGCATTTTGCTAAACTTGTTTATTTACTAGTCTCATCACCTGAATAGCACTTAACATGTTTGCTGTATAAAATGTGGATTTGAAGAACTTGATCTGTGCCTAATGCAACTGCTGTTACAAATTAGCCATGAAAATGTTCTGTAGGCTACATATTAGGCATAGCATAGTGTCAACCACAGGTGTATTAAGACATTCACACTTTTAATACTCTACCAACAATGTATAATTTCATTTCCTCTAGACTTTTAATGAAATTATGAGTCAATGACTGAACATTCTTTCCTTTATCCTCTTACCTATCCCCTTGACTCACCTCTCACCTCACTAAATTTCCAAACACTCACTTCAATTAATCTCTTGGCAAAATAGGGCATTCTCAACGGAGAATATTTTGTGACATTGCAAAGCAGTGTGCTGCTGGGCTCTAGAAATGGCAGCATGTACCAGATGTTCATAGAGTAATTGAAAATTCCATTTTATCAGAATAGCATTTGCTGTCAAAAAGTTTTATCTTTACTTCAACAAAGAGGTTGATTAGATCCCCCTGGACCTGAATTAGCATCTTTGAGGCTTGATATACTGTTTTGCAATTCATGTGGTTGTTTCTTCCCCAGTTTTGCTCATATAGAATCTTTTAAAATATATTCATCCTCTTGCAAATATACCTAGTGAAATGTTTAATTACTTGAACGTAGGAATGTATATATGCTGTTTCTGTATATGTGACTTAGCGTCTTTCATCCTGCCTCAGGTATACCGTGTTCTAATGCCAGTCAGGAACAATCT